CTGTTTGTCGTGCGGTCGCTGTGCGGCTGCTCTCCTCCTTGGTCTTCTTCTGGATTTTGTCTTTTCTTTTGCTGCGACTGACAGGCACTCGTGGCGTAGCGGGAGATTGATGAGATGTGGATGCTCCTCCGTCGGCCGACGCTTCTTGGGCGACCACAGCGAAGGTCGGTGTCTACGTTGACACCACCACCACCACTGGCGGCAGCAGCAGCAGCAGCGAAAGGAGGAGCATCAACAACGACAGCAGCCCTACCGCAAAAGAAATCCAGGGAGAAGGACTTCGGCATTGCCGGCCTACGTTGCAGCGACCCGGCCGGCATTGAGCAGTTCTTCCTGCAGCGACTTGCCCACGTGATGGGTGGCACTGCTGGAGGACCGAAAACAGCCCCTCTGTGGGCCTCACTAACCGATGTAGACACTGAGGCTGAATACAACAGCACTGGTCCCACAAGGGAAGAAGTACGCTATCACAGGCGCCTCAGCTCCCGCTTCACCAGCCTGTGCGACCAGGGCAAGTCGCACGGTACCGCTGAGGTCGCTTTCCACACGCTCCACAGTGACGTTCAGCGGCGTGTGCGGTGGGCGCGTGACGCGCTGCGGATCCTGCAGGACGCTCTTTCACAGCAGCCTTGCCGTGAAGGTGGCGCAGTGCCGCGACGACTTGTGGTGCTTCTGTTGTACTCGCACACGCAGCACGACGCCGCGGTGGGGCTCCACATGAAACGGATCCGCGACACCGTCAAGGCGATGCTCGCAGAGCAGCATGAGGAGGTTCTGGGTGTCTTGACGGTTGTGGTTGGGGCGAAGTGGCGGGGTCTTGCAGTAGCGGGTGCTTCTGCGGGTTCAGCAGACGAAGAAATAAATGATACATCCTTCCGCGATGACACGCTGTGGTATCCTTACGCGGGTCTGTACACTTTCAATGCGTTGCTGCAGTGTCTCTGCATGGTTGGATTGGAAGCGGACGGATCGGATATTACGCAAACCTCCATCAAATTGCACCGGAAAATTGTAGTTGTCTCGGAAGGGTGGTTTCACGTGCGTACAGCAGCTGAAATGCATCAGCCGCGGAGTTCGTTGTCAGTGGCGCATGGTGATACGATTGATGTGGAGCCAATGCCGTTTGTCCTGGGCAGTACGCACAGCGAGGAGGAACTGCTGCAGTTTGCTCGCTACACTGCCTGCCGAGCGCTGGCGTGAGGAGGAAGTGAGTAGGGATGCTCACCAGTGTGAATGTCTGTATATGGTTAAGGGCATCTGCATGTGTTCCTTCTCTGTGGTGTTTCTTTGGGATTTGTCTACGCTTGATTTGCTGTTGTTGTTGTTGTTGTTGTTCAATGTTGTGTAGATAGATACAGGTGGAACTGTTAGCGAGGCACACACGCATTGCCGAGCAAAAAGAGAAGGAAGAACGGCAGGTGGCCGCGAGCTTGCTGGTAAGAGAGCAAAGCAGTCTCCCTCACGGGCCACGCAACACCCCTTTCTTCAAAAACCAACAGGAGTGCTAGGGAAGAGGTAAAACTTCGTCGTGGATGCGCAATGTGCGGTCAACGAAAGATCGGCACGTCACTCGCCCAGTGTCGCTGCAGCCGAATCCTATATCACGGCCACACGGGGTCGATGTTGGAAGCCGCATGAGCAGCAACAACAACAACTACAGCAACAGAAGTAGAGAGGCGGCTCGTGGTGGGCGCGGTGTCGCTCTGCCACCCCTCCTCTTTCGAGGCCCGGATTCATTCAACGCCAACCTCAGCCTCGCCACGCAGGAGCTGCGGTGCACGTTGATGCGGCAGACCGGTGGTGATAGGGCAGCCAGTGTGTTGTCGCATACTGATCTTGCCTCCGCCATGGACACGCTCCTCGACACGCGCAACATGAGCGCGGCGGGTGACACGTGGAAGTTGTCGCAGGCACAGAGAGGTGTGTCGCTGGACGGCGGCGTCGCCCATGCGGATGATGCAACGGTGCGCTTTGGCGAACTCGTCGTGGGTGAGACGCCGTGGTACCAGCCGCCACTGAAGACAGCGTTGCTGCGGGAGCGCTGCTGCTACCCAGATGATACCAGGCTCTTCCAACGGCCCAATCTGAAGGAGTTCTCCGTCGCCTCCAACTACAGCGCGGCATCCTCGGCTCTGGCGAGCGAGAGGAATGGCGCGCCCGCGCACGGCAACCCGACGTCTCGTGCACGTGACACGATGGCAGCTCCCATGGGTGCCGGTGTGGGTGCGGAGGAGCGCCGCCGCCGCCACCTGCGTGCGCAGCGCGTTTTCAACGCGCTGAGTCGGTGGTGTGACGTCGTGATTCGAGTGAGTGAGAAGGAGCGGAAGGATTGCGACCCCGGCGAACTGCATGAAAAGTGCATGATGGTCGTCCACAAGGAGGAGGAGATGACGCTGTTGGTGCTGCAGCTGCAGCGGTACCAGACGACGCAGGAGCTTCAGCGTCGCAGAGGGGCACGGCAGCAGAAGGAGAGGGAAGAAGGCGCGTTTGATGCGATGCAGCGGCAGGAGGCGCAGCACAAATGGCGTTCTCTCCTGACATCGTGGGTCACGGAGGGCACTGAGAGTGAGGGAGAAGCAAGTGGCGGGGCGGAACGGGTGCACGCTGTCGCGGCGTCGCCGCCATCGGCCGTC